GTTAAGAGGCATTTGTTCTAGGTTAGTGTACCAGCTTTCCAGAGTCAGTCGTTGAAAATAGTTTGTACTACAGTACAGCAAACAGTTCTTTTCAGAACTACCCCTGCCCGGACGATCACACAATACGAACGTCTTTGTTTCTGTAAAACTGATGCTTCTGTTGTCCAGGCTCACTCCCTGCACAGCAATACTGAAGATACTAGAAGCGTAAAAAAAAGCCAGAGCAATTTACACAGCTGAGAAAACCTCGTTTCCGAACGTTCTTCAACGCGAGAGAGCACATTGAAAACAGCGCATGTTAATTTCTCCATTCGCTCGTAACCACAATCCCTTGCGCCTTTGATCTTACCGCTACCACAACTCCTTACGTTTTGCAAAAACGCGTTCAAGGCCGTTCTCCCGATTAGAGAGCTGCCGCGTTCGTTCGTTTCAGGCTAACTCACTGAGGCAGAAACAAGTTGTCCCTCTGGCCAGTAGTATTTTCAGGATCCTACCGGCCAGAGGGACAAGGCAAAGGAAGTTTGAATTCAGGACGGCTGCCGAATCAAGAGCTCAATAAAAAATTCGTCCTCAAGGAAAGACTTATTTAAAAACTCTTGTGCCTAAGTCAAAGACGTCTACAGTGTCTACAGCGTACAAATTTACGGTTTAAGAACTAGAAGGGAAGAGACCTAAAGAAATATACAGCATTTGCCGAACGATTCACTGCTTTACTCTCTACACATTATTCTTAACATGTCAGGTAAATAAAAACGTACTTGCCTTGTGGATCAACATAGTTTTACCACTGGCAACTAATTCGCATATTATGTGATTGGTACTGCTATAGTCCGCCATCAATTTCCGAAAACTGCTCAACTCGGAACTCGCTCCTAGTACTCCTCGGTTGTCCTTCTTGGACACAACCGAATGATAAGAATGACCTGGACCACATTCAGCGATCAGCGGTATCTGTGAAACCATGGGTTTATGGGGGTGCTCATTCTCGCGGGCTCAGAAAAGGTGGTGCCGTCCTTGAGCGCTTTCCATTCGACCAAAAATTCCGAGATTTCCGGTCCGAAATTGAATGGAACGTAAAAATTCCGGGAAAAGTTTTCGAAAATTTAGGAATACGTTTTGAGTGCACCCTCTTTGATGGAATTT